GTCCTGCGCCCGTTCCAGCACGTTTCCGTCGACACCGTTGGCCCCTTCAAACCTACAGCGTTGGGCGGATTCAAGTACGCCACCAAGTTCGTGGAACAGCAGACCAAGTGGGAGGAGATAGTTCTCATGAAGGACAAGCCCTGTTCTGTAGACTCCCTCGCGTTGTTCAACAAAGGGACCGTGGTTCCTGCAGGCGAACGCATTCCTTGCCTCCGCGGGGATCAGGGCACAGAATTCACGAGTGCGGAATTCCGTCAGTACTGTCAAAACATAAGCATCAAGCTGGAGTTCGCCTCTCCGAACACCCCTCAGCAAATCGGAGCCAACGCGCGTGCGGGTCGGACGATATTGAATGTCGTGCGCTGTCTGCTCGCTGACTCAACTCTACCGAACTTCCTTTGGGGGGAGCTGATCCAGACGGCAGNAACATAAGCATCAAGCTGGAGTTCGCCTCTCCGAACACCCCTCAGCAAATCGGAGCCAACGCGCGTGCGGGTCGGACGATATTGAATGTCGTGCGCTGTCTGCTCGCTGACTCAACTCTACCGAACTTCCTTTGGGGGGAGCTGATCCAGACGGCAGTCTACCTTAGCAACCGGGTTCCTCATGCAGCCCTGCAAAACGGGACGCCGTACAAGGCGCTCTACGGGAAGGATGCCTACCTTGGTCACCTTCGGGTGATAGGGTCGAGGGCGTTCGTGCACGAAGCGACCCACACCAGAAAGCTGGAGCACCGTGCTTGGGAAGGACGCCTTGTCGGATACAGCACGGTCAGCAAGTCGTACCGGATCTACAACTCTGAGACGCGACGTGTACGGGTGAGTCGAAATGTTGTCTTCATTGAGACACCTCCCATTGCGCCTGCGTTGGATGAGGGTGGCTTCGACGACGGGGAGTTCACGTACGACAACCACGACAACATGGTAAGAGACGTGTGAAACTACACTTCCAACCACTCAGTTGATTCGCTCTCTCCTAATCATAACGTTGGGGACATCCCTGTGATTGAGCTTCTCCAGCAAATCCGTGAGACAACCAATCGTGACCTTGGGGTTAGTCTCCTCCCACCGACGATGCGCCTAAGACTTCTGGTGGTACACCTACGGGAGGTAGCCCTGCCTCGCCTGGGGGAGTAAAACCCCCTCATACGGATGACGGTGCGTCTCCTCCTGGTTCGTCACCTGGTCCTACGCCGCTAGGTTCATCGTCTTCTGGTCCTGCTCCGTCTTGTGCTGTACCGCGGGGTGGATCTGCGCGTGGGCGCGGTTCTGTCTCGTGTGGCCAAGGTGCTCGTGGTGGATATTCGCGAGGAGGATCTGCGCAGGGAGGCATCACGCCGCGTAGAGGTCGCGGCTCGGCAAGTGGAAGTGGTTCTCGTGGTGAACGAGGGTCCACGTCGGCACCTGCTGTCACCAGGTCGAGTTCGCGCATGCCCAACGCAAAGACCATCCGCGAGCTCCGTCGTATCTACTACGCATTTACCGCGAAAGGGGATTTCCCTGACGTTGCCCATAGGGACGGCTCCTTTGGTTTCACGGAATACGCGTACGCTATGGGGGCATCCCAACCAGATGTTCCGCGAACAATCCAAGAGGCAAGGGCCACGCCGGACAGAGCGCAGTGGAACACAGCTGCAGAGCGCGAGATTGCGAGTCTCAAGGAACGTCAACTTTACGAGCTCGTCCCGCGCACGGCAGTTCCCCCAGGGAGGAAGCGGACAAAGTCCAAATGGGTGTTCAAGAGTAAGGCAGACGGCTCCTTCAAGGGGCGTCTAGTGGCGCAAGGCTGGAACCAAGGGCCTGGACTGCACTGCGGTAGCACCTACGCTCCGGTGTGCAGGTTACAGAGCATTCGAATGTTAGCGTGCATAGCCGTGCAATTCAACCTGGAGTTGGATCAAATGGACATGTCCACAACCTTCCTCCACGCTGACATCCTGGAGAACGTGTATGCGGGCGCGTCTTTCTTTGGAAGACAAGAGGGTGGCGGAGGATTTCAGAGGGAGACTGGAAACGTGTGCTAGAACGAGAAAGACTGCTACCGTTCAGGAAGTGATCGTTTTGGTCGAGGTCAGCTTTGGGATGACGAAATGCAGTAGGTGGCGTGAGGATTGCGTAGCCGGGAGGGCATACAGCGGTATCGGCTGCGAGTTGGCTGGGTGGCGCAGCTTCGTGGACGCAGCTCAGAAGGGTGGGGAGGTGCAACACGTACAAATGTGTGATGACCGGCCAAAGACGACCGCTTGAAGTCATGACCAAAGAGACGGGGTGAAAAACAGCTGGCAAAGCTGTTTTGATTCGTGTTTTTGTCCAAGCACGACGCCCAGACGTCAATCTCCACGACACTGATGAAGGACGCGTATTGTTGAGATAGCCGGTGGGACGGGGGCTCTGCCTTTCGCCGTTGCGGGGAAAAGCACTACTGTAGTTGGTCGATTTCATGTAGGGTGTGCGGGTGCGTGACTTGGTTAGGGAGACGAAGGTCCGCCTGTAAATTCAGAAATTAAGCAAGCACAGGCCGCAAAAGCGTCTAGCATTTTTGTTTCGGCCGCAACAGAAACTGAAACCCCTAGACCCATCTTTATGGGGTGAGACAGATACAAGGGCGTCGGAGCTTTCGAGAAAGCCGAAACACAACTTCCCCCTGCCAGGGTTGCAGTCACATGCCACTGCTGGACTACTGTAGGGGTCAACATACGTGTCTCGTTTTTGTTGTGGGAGCCCTGTGTTTCAATTACAACCCAACTCGCCCAAGCCTGTGAAACTATCGCCACGACAAAAAAGTTGACGAGTGAGGACTTCTCGAGTGAAAAATTCAAACACCGTGCCGCATTGTCGAGGATATTCCAACTCCGAGCCCCTAAATTAGACCCTTTGAAGCCCGGCATGAACAACCACTCCAGCAGAAGGAGTATGTTCGTTTACTGCTGCCGTTGAACGTGCAACACCATTTAGGAGAGACGAAAAGCTCAAACAAGCGATTTCAGAAAACAACCCGTAGGCGGCGGCACACAACACCAAAACGTATTTCAGCTGTTGCGGCACCGCACCCCATTACACGTGTGGCTTATAGGCGGCAAAACAGGATGGCAGAGGATGTTTCGTTACTGTTCAGGTATGAAATACGGGCAAAGCGCGAGCGAAGCAAAAGACGACACCCCCTGATGATGTCAAACCATGTTCTCGACCCCGTCACGTATTCTCGTCCGGGGCGAAGGTAGCCTGCTTGGACGACAACCTTCCAGCAAGGAAATTCTGCGCACGTGACAGAACTGCATGTAGTGCTGCACCGGTAGCCCCGGCTGGAGCAAAAGAAGTACTCCCAGTACTCAAAAAAAGGGAATCTGCGTTCAGAAAACCGGTAAACCTGGGAGCCTACAGTACTGCAAGCTTCTCCCGGCGAACGCACGACACCATCCTTTTTTTTCGGCTTGAATTGGAGATGTCGCTGAGAAAAACGCCCCAACCTCCGCAATTAATGAGTGTGCCCCCAATTCCCTTTGCCTTCGAACAGGAAGAACGTCGCCGACGACACGGCCCCCCACGGTCAAAATGACCCCCCACCTACCCGATAAACCCACCTGTTTCTCGCACCCCCGCTAAACGGCGCCAAGAATACAAAATAAAATTAAGGCAGCCAATCGCTTCGCAAAGAAGCGAACGAACAACAGCAGCCACGATACCCAGTCATAAAACCTACACATAGTGGAACACCAAGAGCTCTCTCCCTCCGGCGGAGAATAGTTAGCCGAATGGTTGGCACCTCGTCTTACATCTATCTGCCAATCGATCGCCGGGCTAGTCGCACGTGTACGTTTGCTGGGAGAGGATGAGCGCAACGATAAGCCCGTAGAGGCCCAGGGCTTCCGCGAAGATGAGGATGAGGATCATGCCCACGAAGAGCTTCTCTTGCTGTCCGACAGCCCTCACGCCCGCGTCGCCCACTATCCCGATCGCCATGCCCGCCGCGAGCCCGCTGTATGTCCCGATGTCATTTGAGAATACCAGGAGGGGAAGGCGGGGTGAACGTATGCTTCCATACTGACATCGCCAACACTGGCATGAACCGCTGTATTGTTCTACGAACGACCGACTACACACACTGCATCGCGCGGCTTGCCGCCAAAATGCCCTTTATTCCTTCGTCATATCACTTCTACGCTTCAACGGCATGTCAGTCGTCCACCCAGCACGGCTAATGCAAACATACTGAGAACCAGCGGCTTATGCAAACATGCTGCGAACCGGCGTATGATGCAAAGACCTTGTGCGTGACACAGGCTGCCAACGCGGACCTTGAGGTGAAACACCGTCGCCTGTTCGTTTTTCATCCTAGAGAGAAACCACGCGGCGGGCTGGGTCTAATATCGCCCCACATTCGTCATTCTCACTGTAGATGCTTATTTCGCCGCACTTCAGATATATTATTCAATGCACTCAACTCATCGTTTGGCTAGGTTCTTATTTGAATATCTCAAAATATTCTTAATGCACTCCACTAACATTCTGGCTGGGTGCTTTCTTCGACACACCTCACTATGTTCTCAAATCACCCGAGTCATCGTTCTGGCTAGGTGCTTATTTCGACGCACCTCAACCCGCACGCCATCCCGGCTGCTAGGTGTGCGAAGCTTGTGAACGCCGAGTAGACCGTGACCCCGCTCTGAGGGGCCGAGACTGTGCGCGAAGCGGAGCCGGAACCAATCACCAACCACGTGCCACGATGGTCGCCCACAATACATGCACCATCAGACGACAATTTGGCGGGGGAACGCAGGCGCGGCAAGAGGAACACGGGTTGAGAGTACGGTGTCAGCAGGCGGTGTTCTAGAACTGCTTGGTATGTGGCTTTGGACAACGATCTTTGTCTCTGCTCTGCCGCTATCAAGCCACAGGGTTCGGATATTTGTGCAATCTTATCGCGGGGTGTCCATAGTGAGGAGCGCTTTAATTGTCCCGCGGTCCAGGGTGAGTCGAGGCCTCAACATAGCAACCGAGACATTCTCCTCCAAGGGATCAAAGAGCGGTAACTTAGACCACGCATTTCTCCTCCCACGCCAGCTCATTCGGTCGTGATCAACCGACCAATGCACCTTCTTTGGACCATGATCCACGTGCATCGCTATAAAGATCCAAGCGCACAGACTCAACCATAGATCCCATTTTCCTGGTGCTGCCCTCGAGGGAAACAACCGGCGGATATGCAGTACGGGCAATACGACTGATCGCATCATCTGACTTTGTTGTGCCTGTCAGCTTCGAAAAAGCGATTTATCGAGCGCAAACAGCAGAGCAATTGTGCGAAAGGTTGAAAGTGCAGCGCCCAGCCATCAGACAAAGCTAACACGACGCCCGGGGCAACTCCTACACTCACTCCCGCAGAATAAGTCTCTCGTTAGCCCCCCCTTTCCCGAAAGGGTACTGCCTAAATTCGAACGTAAGCCTGGCGTCGACGAGGTGCAAAAATCAGGCAAGCGGTGTACCGATCAAGCCAAGCACAGCCAAACAAAGCAACACCACATACGGCAGTAGGTATCAAAAGATACCACACTTCCAGTACCGATTCAAAGCTCGACTACTCCACGCCGAAGAGGATGCCAACACCAAACCACACGTTTTCGGAAAGCTATCGACGAGAGGGTGCCATACGCCGCCATGTTCGGCAGCGCTATGCCGCGGTAGAACCGAGCGCTAAAAATCGACCCAGGGAATGTGATATCAAACGCGACCTGCGGCATGCGGCCGAAAAAAAAAGCCGACTACACCACGGCAAGCCTCACTTGATCCGAGCAAGATGACCGATACGATGAGGCCGTAGATTCCCAAAACACCCGCCATGACCACCGGGATGATGTTCCGCATCACCAGCTGAGGGTGCATGACGCCCATCGCCCCGATACCCATCCCTGCCTTGGCAGTCCCGTACGCCGCACCGCCGTCTGTTCGCGCAAAGCAGCACAAGTTCCGCACGATCAAATTGTTGGACGCATCTAGCGTCCAGCGTAACAGCAACAAGAGCGTCTTCTGCATAGGACAGACATAGGTCTCACGACACCTTCCGAAAGGTCAAAAGTGGCTGTCGGACGTGCATTATGTTCGCAAAAGTCTTCAGCACATCCCTTTCGACTGTGGTTGCATCTCGAACGGGTAGGTAGTCTTTCTCTGTGGTCCGTTATGCTCGTAAAAAAGACTTGGCATGCCGCAGGACACATCGACATGGGTCGCACTAACAGCTTCTCAGAAATACCAACCAGCCGGGACAGCGACGTCATCCACGCCCACCGGATCGCGCTGCCTACCAAAAACACAGAGCACACCTGGATAGTACCGTAGTGGCATTACATATCGCACCCCCTGGACCAATCTCCAAAGCTCGTTAACTAGGGTGTCATGAACAACATTTAACGATACGTTCTGGAAAGCTTTCGGCGAGGCGGTCCCACCGCCGACGTGTTCGGCACCATCCTGCTGTGGAGCACTCGACCTTCGAAAGTCGGCCCAGGGGGTGTGATTTCTTGCATCATGTCACTTCTTGCCTACGGTAAGGGGAGGCACATCCGCATACAGACACACACGTACACCCACGTAGCTGGGCGGGCAGGCACAGTCGTATCTACCATTGGCACTCACTTGCGAAGACGAGCGCGAACATCACCCCTGTGAAGCCCACAAATGGTGCCCATATCGGGCACCCGTCCACGCTGATGTCTGACATCCCTGGTGGTGACTATTCCTACGACCAACTCCTTCCCCGGCGTTGCTGCTCCAGTTGGTGTTTTGAGGGCGCCCTCCGAATCGTCCTGGGCAGGACAACGAGAGAGTAACGCGGAGCGTCATCACAGCATAACGCGGAGCTACTCTTGAATTGGTTGATACATCAATATTTAACTGGCTTACAGAGAGTTTCGTGCGTGGTGTGGAGAACCACAGCTGGCCGAAGCGGCGGTGCAAAGTAGTCCCAACGGCGTCGCCTAGCTGATCGAGCAGTTTCCAGCAGTGCAACTCGCAACTGCTGCTGCTCGTGCCTGTACCCATGGCCCTCTTGCACCAATATGGAAGAATAGTGAAAACTCTTGATGATACGTGAACCCTTGAGCAGTGCATTGAACATGGCTAGGTGAGGCTACACAGGCGGACATCCCATACCCCTGCACGTGGGCCAAGCGTACGCAGCATAGTACACGCTACCATAGCCGTGCTCTATGCCACAACCACACCATCTACAGCAGTGCACCTGTGCAGCAGTCGCAGGGTGGAAAAGAGAACCAGCACGGGGACTTCGGAGAGCTTGGGTTCAGGACATTGCACCACAACAACCATGGGAGGTCAAGTAGCATCACGAACGACTCAGCTACTCGATTTTGCCCATACCTGACGGTGGCGCTGTTCTTCACCAGAGTAAGGGTGTTCTCCTCCTGACTCTTGGTCTCAAGTAACAGGCAAGAGTAGCAGTGCCGAGAAGGCCTCCGAGACCCTGGGGGTCTGCAAAGTGATGCACTGCTGTATGCATCTGCAGTAGATGTATTCCGGTTCGTGGGGCCCCCAATCCCACCGCCGTGGTCCGTGGTCTGTGGGTCGGTGGTGCGGCTGGACTGCCAGCTGCCAGGCTGCTGCCTGCTACTGCTGTCGCTACTACTACCTTGTTGCGGTGGTTTTCTCAAGAGGTGAGGTCATTGGGTCGAAGACACGTGAATAGGCTCACGAAGAATGAGCTAGTGACGAGAACACCCACAACGTGAAGCTACTCCTGCAATATAGGTACCAACATCGTTGGAGCGAGACGGCGAAGACAACGGCACCAACCTCACACCAGAAACTAACGGCCTGCTGTGATACTGCTCGACGGATGACGACAAAATCGTTGCCATACACGACTGCTGTGCCCTAGTCTTAGGTTTGGTCTGATGGTGTAGTCACGGGCTTGTCGAGTTCTCTGAGAGTGCAGTCCGTCGGTACATACTCCTGACAGCTTTGTGCGGCGCTGCGGCGGTTTGCCCATAGATCTACAGCACACAAGACAGCACACAAGAGCAACCAGCTAGATTGGAGTTGTTTTAAATATCAATGGGTAAACAGCATTAGGGCAAGACACAGACTGCTGTTGTGCCATATGCATAGCGATACACCGCTTTTGGTTTTTCCGCTCGAATACTTGGGTTTCCAAATTTCAATGTCTCCCCTGGTTGCAGGTCGCACGCGTTTTCTGCCTCAGAGGTGCCTCTCGGTGACCGCTGGCTGACCCTTGCGACGGCTGACCCGTGTCGCCGACACGAGGGTGGTGCGCACGTTCCGCGATGCGGTTTCAATTCGCACCACTGCACGTGGCGAAATTTGTTGTTGCTTCAGGGCTGCCACTGCCATGAATGCACCGAAGCGAATTGTTTCTCCGCGACTACTGCCTCATACGTCACAGCCCTTGCCCACGGCCACCCTGTCTTTCGGATGTCTTTATCCCTCGCGCTTACGGCGCCTGCCTCCCCCACGCAACTCAATTTCGTCCAAACGAAACACGGCAGGAATGCTATCTATCGCGCGGCGCGTGCGAGGCCCATGCCGCCGCGGCGAAGCACATGCGGCGAGGGCTGCCTTGGAGACAACGACAGCAGCAGCGGCGTCCTGCCGGCGATCCGTTCCGGGTGCCGGTCTCCACCTCCTCCGCTTCCTCCGAAGCACGGCAGGACCCACGCCCACGCCACACAGCAGTAGACAGCCACCTCTTGCGATAAGACATCGTCACTCTCCTGTTGGTGCAGCGGCGGGGGCAACAATGCCCCCGTGCCCACCATGTCGGGCGATGGCTGCGTCTGCGACGGCTAGTGGCCCGGACGTCATGGCGGGGCGGCTGCAGGGCAGTGACGAGGCAGACGTCCGTGCTGCCGGCGGGAGGGAGGAGCAGGAGGAAGGAGCTGGTGCATCTCACGGCCTGATCGGCGGGGTAGAATATCTACTCACAACGGAGGCGGGGGATGACGACGGCGGAGATGTCGACCAATCAGCAACGGAGGCCGAGCCAGACGACGACGATGTCGACCAATCAGCAACGGCCACCGAGCCCGGGTACGGGGAGGCGTTACCGCCGCCAAAGATCAAAGACCCGTCCGTGATGCGCCTATCTCGCCGCATCGCGAGGTCCGGCATAGCTTCTCGGCGTGAGGCCGAGCGTATGGTCGAGGCGGGGGTGGTAATGGTGAACGGAGCGACGGTGCAAACTCCGGCGCTGAACGTCGGCCCACGAGACATCGTCAAAGTCAATGTGGGTTTATTCCTGCAGCTGGGGAATGGGGCTGATTATCGCTTTTTCGTCCAGGTGGACTTTGATGCACTGCTATTGTGCTTATCATATCTTAGCGATACGGCATTGGTTCGTGCTTCAAGCCGAAGGCGTAGTGCGGTTGCGGCCTTTGCGAGTGTTCGGCGGCCAATTGTGTGCCACATGGGTCTCGCGTTCTGTGCAGGCGGGACTTCCCTCCTTTTTTTTTCGCATCTTGCTTTTCTTGTGTCGTAGTTCGCGTGGAGGAGCACCCCCCTCTCTGCGGGTGTTGTTTTTCTCGTTCTAGTTTCGTTGTTTTGCTGCCTGTCTGGAGACCACGCGGCTGTTTGGTAAAAGAATCAGCGGCGCTGTGTTCAATGTGGAGTGTTCGGTCAGGAAGCATTCTCTCTCCTGCTGTTAGTGAAGGACCCACTCGTTTTGTTGCAGCGTGGATTACGTTCGCGCCTGCAACCTCCAATTCACTCCCGTGTTAACACACGTACCTTGGAACCGTAGTTGTACCAAGAACCCTTCGCAGCTTCGGTTGAGGGTTCTGGACATAATGCAGGCTCGTAGTTCGTTGATCGGAGGTGCGCCACTGCTGTTGTCGGTCTCATGCACCCCGTGCCTGCCCGTCTGGTCACCAAGGATAATACCTACGGAGCCCCCGTGTGACATTACTGACATGAGCATCACCTCCGCACTCAATCGATCACGAGCTTGTCCCACTTCCCGTCTCGTACGTTTCCGCCTGCTTCGCCCTACGCGATGCCGTACCTTTGTCGCGGCAGGGGAAGGTGCTGGAAAGGCCGGAAAGCCACACGCCGAAGCTGTGGATGGTGCACAAGATGAGGAACGAGCTGGTCACGCGAGACGACCCGGAAGGGCGTCCGACCGTGTTCGACAGGCTGGCCAAGCTCAAGCTGCCCGACACGCTGATGCCAGTGGTGCGCTAACTTCCCACGCACACACGTGATGTTTATTTTTGTGGTGCCCGTCTTTTTTTTTTTGTTCGTTGGTGCTTGTTGTAGGTTGACTGCCGTGCGCGCTTCGAGCAAGCCGACGTGCCCCGCAGGCGAGAGGGTATGCTACTGCTGCAGTTTGTGCCTTGGTTCCATTCTTAGGCGACGGATGGAAAGCGTGGAGCAATGTTGTTAGTGTTCGGCAGCTGTCGAGAAAAGAGGTGGGGCCTGTCTTTGCCCCCTCCCTGGCCCTTCCCTCTCTCTAATACGTGTGCTTGCCGCTGCGACCACAGGCTGTGGGTGTTGGGCTAGAACGCGCTCTCCACACAACCGCCTGGTTTGTTTCTTCGAGACGTTCAGAGTAACAATATTCTGCGGAGATCCCCTAACCCAAAGGGTACAATCTCCCCGAAAGGGTACAAATTTCCCCAGAAGGGTACAATCTTCCTAGAAGTGTACAACCCGCAAAGGGTACGATGTCCCAGAAGGGTACAATGTACCCAAGAGGGTACGATCTCCCCAAACGTCTGCCGAGGATGACTCCCTCTTTTCACAACCCGTTTCTTTGTATTTTCTCTCGAACATCTTAGGGCCGGCTAGACTACAACACGGAAGGCCTCCTGCTGCTGACGAATGACGGGGACCTAGCACGCAAGATGGAGCTTCCGAGCAGCAACATCGTGCGCACCTACTCCGTTCGAGTCTACGGCAACGTAAGCCCCCCCCCCCCCCTCGCCTTTCTCAGAACCCGTGTCCCATGTGCGTTGTTGATCGCTTGCGCTCTGGAGCGTTCATCGACGATGGTCTGTTGGCCGTCTGTGAAGACCAGCGTGGGGCTCTGTATGTTTAGCCGCACGCACAAGGCTGGTTGCCCTGTAACATGTCAGACGAAATCGCGTGACAGGGATCGAATGTTCAAGTTATGTTATTTTAGTATGTACTCGGTGCTGAACGCCCGGGCATTTTCCTGCAAACGCGTTAGCTCTGAATCGCGCGGTTGTTTTCGTATTAACTTTCTGTTTCTTTGGTGCTGTCGGAACTTGCTTTTGGAGTTGGCGTCACGCCAAGGTGCCATCTTGGCGTGATTTATGACGTTTGCACCGCATCCATGCCAACGGTTGGTGGTGGTCCTGTCTGGTGGTTGGTTTCATGTGTCCTGAAGTATCCGAAACGCCGATCTCGTCTACTCCGGCGCCTGCTGCAGCTATGTCATCGTGAAGGTCGCGATGCCGTTACTCTCATCGAGCGTGTTGGCATGATCTTGTCCTCCTAAAAACCAACAGTTAAATAATTGTCCTCCTGAAAACGGAAAATCAAATAAATACCAACCAACCCAGATCTACACCATCATTTTTTGTTGTTGCACGTCATCTTGACCCTTTTGTTTTTTTCACCTGACAAGTTGAGGGGGCGTTTGGCTCCACAGCAAGGGGTTCACCTTTGTGCATTGCGGAAGATAAACACCTCGGCAGTGTTAGCGTTTCGAAGCTCCAACAAGTGTGTGACATAAAGGTGCCGGGTGAGGGCAATGCCGTAGTGGAAGTGGAGTTGATGACACGCGACAGGGTCGCAACGATTTGGTGGCGGAGTACCCTTCGCTTGTCGATTTGGAGCAAGGAGCTTCTTTTTTAGGCCGGAGGGAGAGGACGACACAAACAAAATGGTTGGGATGACGAAAACAAAAACAATCTACATCCAGAGATATCTTTGACAGTGCCTTTCGTGAAACTGGAACCGCTGGAAAGTTGTTCCGGTGAACGTTGTTCGAAATCGGTCCGGGTTCTCAAGCGAGGCATAGCCGTGGGGGCAACATGTCGTTGCTCATCATTTTAGCAGCACAGCGGTGAGCACGCGGTTTGGTTGTTGGCAAACCGTTCATCCCCCGATGTCTGTTATTGCCTCCATCCGGGTGCCCCCATTCCAGCATCCGATGCCCCGTTGTGCTTGCGCCTACCCTGCCATTCACGGCGCATTCTAGGATTGGTTGGGCAAGTAGGCGTCCTCGTTGCTCATCGCCATCTTCTATTAACCCCCCCCCTTTGGGTTTGTCATCCGTACGCAAGGAAGTAAGCACAAGATGCCGAACACCCTCAGCAGTTTGCAGCGCACCCTTCATGCGACTCGCCGAATATCTCACGGCATTTCGCGCTTGGTGATGTGAGAGCCTGGTCCGGTGGCAACCCGGCGTGCTCCGTCCCGGCTTTGTAGGGATGCGAGGTCAATGGTCTAACGACTACAGCATGCACGACTATGAGTACCCCCCCCCTTTGGGTTTGTCATCCGTACGCAAGGAAGTAAGCACAAGATGCCGAACACCCTCAGCAGTTTGCAGCGCACCCTTCATGCGACTCGCCGAATATCTCACGGCATTTCGCGCTTGGTGATGTGAGAGCCTGGTCCGGTGGCAACCCGGCGTGCTCCGTCCCGGCTTTGTAGGGATGCGAGGTCAATGGTCTAACGACTTTGGCATGCACGACTATGAGTACACCCCCCCTTTGGGTTTTCGTCGATTGGCAACGACGTTGTGAAACAAGCCAATTCACCTCGTGAACTCGGCAACCAGGTTACCGTTTTTTTTTTTTGCCTCTGTTTTTTTTTGGCGGTAACCATGAATGGTGGTCGAGTGGATCATTTTGTGCGGGGTCGAGAAGCCTCACTCCGCGCAAGGGGGATAATCGCACCACGTTGTGTTGAAATTGTCAAGCACCCTCCAGGCAATCGCACAGTGCTTACAACTGTCTCTGGAAGTGAAAGCACTAGAAATTAAATTAATTCATACGCAGCTGTCATCCGTACGCAAGGAAGNGTAGGGATGCGAGGTCAATGGTCTAACGACTACAGCATGCACGACTATGAGTACCCCCCCCCCTCTGCGCGCAGATTACGGAAGAAAAGCTGAGGGCCATGCGCAGCGGCTGCACAATCGACGGGGTTCGGTACAAGGGCATGTTCGTGAGAGTGGAAGGGGGCGGGGGCAAGGGGAGAGAGGGCCGGAACGCCTGGCTCACCATTGAGTGCACCGAAGGAAAAGTAAGCGAGGCGATGTTTTGCTGCGTTTGTAGTTGCTATCCGACAACATGCAGAGCTAGTCTAAGCGCCGTAATTGTAAGCCAGTTTCTGCCTTTTTTTTCTGCTTCTCGGGAGAATTGTGTCGTGGTGGCCGTACTACCATTAGCTTGTTGTCGCAGGAATCGCCGCGAGAATCGGGTATCATCGAAGTCGATTACTTGGGAAAATGTGCCCTGTAAATGTCGACAATGCCGCCAAGAACATCTGTCGACGTCAAGTCTTGAGCACGTAGTTTTTCCGTCGCTTGTCGTGAGACTCTTGCGCTCTGTTGGTTGTGGCAAGCTCAGCGCGGTGCCAGGCCTCACCAACGTCCTCCCTTCATGCCGTGTGGGGGTAAAATAGTTGTGAGGCCATGCGCGTAAAGAAGACAGACCAAGCATGCCGAGCACCGTGGTACGCAGCACATTGACGAACGATATATATTTTCTCTCTGCCGTTTGTCAATGGAATGTAAGGGTTTCCCCTTCAAACGCCCCCTTTTTTGAAGGCCCCACAGTTGATCTCCCGACTGGCCGGACGGACAAGATAGATGCCTCGCATGCAACATCCTAGCATGACCACGTTTACACACGTAAAAATGAGACTCCCGCGGACCACTCATAGCTCCTTCTCTAACCCCCGCTTCCCCCCCGACAAGCATCACGCAACCGTACACATCACAGATATATACCCCCCGCCCTGTGATATTGATAGGATAGATAGGCTACGGAAGCCAGGTTTGGGCCACCTTTGGCAAAGCAGGAAGGAACGATTGGCCATTGGTGATAAGTCCTGTGGGAACAATGCTCCGTCCTCTCGAGGACGCCTGGTCAGTGGTCTAACCGCAAGAGCATGCAATACATAAGAGTACGCCCCCCCCCCCCCCCCCCCCCCCCCCCCCCCCCCCCCCCCCCCCCCCCCCCCCCCCCCCCCCCCCCCCCCCCCCCCCCCCCNGAACCGGCAAATCCGCAAGATCTGCAAGTACTTGTGCCTGACCGTAAACCGGCTGGCCAGGACCGGCTACGGCCCCTTCAGCCTGGGAAAGGTACGGGCCGGCGGGGTCGCCGCCGTAGAAATCCCGAAGGCGTTCATGCGCCGTCTCGAAGACGGCGGTGGCTCGCCGGGCGGGGCAGGAGGCGGCGGCAGCGGTACCAGCGGGAGAAGACTGGGCCCGGGGCCTGGGAACGGGATGCGGCGGGAATTGGAGGCTGGGAGGATGAGGGTATCGGAGGTGTCTTCGCCGGGGGGCGGGAACAGCAGCACTGTAGGCGGGGGAAGGGACACCGACGATCGCGCTATTAGCTCTGGAGGGCGGCATTGGGGCGATGGGTTTAGAGGAGCTGGTAGGTCGTGGGGAGGGAAAGGGGGCCCGCGGATTCGGAAAGGGGTCGGGGCGCCGATGTCACGGGGGGATAATTCCGCCCGTCCAACGGCGCAGCAGCGCGCACGGTAGGGGCAGGTTGTCGGGGGCGGGGAAGCAGAGAGTCTGGGAGATATGTACAAATAGTGAAGTGCTTGCCGGGAGACTTTTGAAGCCCAAGTCAAAGCATTGACTATTTACATTGTTGTCAGGGCTGTGACTTTTTATCTGATTTGATTTCAGCATCTAAAGAACGACCGTGACATGTAGTGAGAATGGAATGTATCCAAGGTGTGTGCATGGTCGCTCTGAAAAAGACACACAAAGAGGGTGAACAATAGACGGAGCTCTTTTCCCGTCGAAGTTCGAAGACTATGCCAGTTTGTACAACGCCGCCCCCCTACAGTGCGGCAAATATAAATACCTCAGGCAGGAACCGCAGGAGGGGGTCCAGCCCCCCCCTCCTATGTGGCCACGGTTGGGTCGTCTAGCTGGTAGAAGCGGAGGATAGGGGCCAGAGGGGCAGACGACAGAGTCCAATGATGGGAGAACAAAAAAAAAGTGCGGCTGTCCTCAGCAACGAGACTACTGAACGCGAACGCCCTGCTCTGTCAACATACGATTGAGGACCACGTGCAACATCTAGGAGAACAGCAATCTGTTTCGGATGCAACGGCCTGCTCTCGCGTGCACCTCGTGCTCGGGCACCGCATATCACGACATGCGGGAGCGTCTATGCTCTGTACCATGTACCTCACAGAATCACAGGATCTCAGGTCGGCCCGATACAGCAGTCTCGCCGCATTTTGTGTCACAGGTGTCGCCAAGTCCACGGAGCGATCAACGGCCCGATTTGCCGCCAATTCGCCCGTCACATTCAACCGGTCGCCCCGGTGGTCTAGTGGGTAGCCTCGCAGCCTGCTAAGGACCAGGTCATGGGTTCGAGTCCCGGCAGAGAGAGTTTTTTTCTCACTAAATAAATCCTGGTCTAGGATGAAAGCGACGCGCTGCAAAGCTCGTTTGTTAGTAAACCATAATCGACTTCGTAAGTCGCGAGGGAAGGGATTGCTGTACCCTTCTCGCGATAAAAATACCTCAGGCATGAACCGCAGGAGGGGGTCCAACCCCCCCCTCCTATGTGACCCCGGTTGGGTCGTCTAGCTAGTAGAAGTGGAGGATAGGGGCCAGAGGGGCAGACGACAGAGTCCAATGATGGGAGAAAAAAAAAAAAAAAAATTCTAGACTAGTCTCTCTCTTCGCTGTGGAGAGGAACCATTCCACCCTTGCAACTGGCTGTTGTTGTCTGGACAACGCCGGGAACCGAAAACAAGAGTACTGCACGGGTGGGTCTACAGCTTTGGCGCGCGTGTGCATCCAATTTGGCTGAGAGGAGTGAGATACAATCAATCTCTGATGTGATAACCCCGCCGTGCACACCAGTTGTTTTGAACGGCAAGTCAAGCACAAGTAGGGCAGTGTGTACGCTGTAGATAATCCCAGCTTTCTCCTGGGCCGGAAACAGGACTTGAGAAATCCGCACGCTCGCTGCCTTCCATGAGGAGGGCGATCGGGACCTCCTGCTCATTAATAATCTCGCTGCAACCTCTCAGCAGGTCTAAAACGAACGCTGCCGCAGTTACCTCCGGGATGTCGCCTCCTCTGTGGGCCCTCAGCCTCCCTGTAGGCACCGTCTTCGTCTTCGTTCCCCGCGCCATTTCGTTGGCGCTGCAAATCATGTCTGGAGCGCCCCTGAGGAACAGCAACCCTCGAGAGCACGCCGAGAGCAAGGATGTCGCCGCCAAGGACACCCATGGGTGAGAAAGAATAAATACAGCAGCAATAGGCAACAGCAGCAGCAAGCTGCCCGATGCGCTGCAAGATGCGCCGGCGGCCTGCTATCATGTGCGAGTGTGTGTTTGATGCCGAGACGCGAGGGTATTCGCCAGCTGCTGCCTTTTCACGTTCAACATTTGAATGTAGACTACTACTGTAGTGTCGCAAACATGGAGAGGGGCGGGGTTGATATCTCCACCAGGCAGGAGTAGGTGCACAGAACTACTGTATATGACATAAGATAACACACCCCCTTGACCGATGTTCGACGCTCGATTTCTCAACTGCAGGAACAGCAGTCACAGCGCCGAAAACGGCGGCGTTGAAACAGTCTCATCGAGAGCTTTTCGAAAACGTATCATTTCGTTTAGGCATCCTCTTCGTCGTGGAGTCATCGAGCTTTGAGAATCGGTCCAGGGGGTGTGTTATCTTGTGTCATAAACGGTATGCGAATCCCTGCTGAAAATTGACGCTTTATTTTTTATGTGTCACTTGTCTGTGTCTTGAAGATGCATGCATATGCTAAACACGTCGTTCCTCGTTCAAATTACTTCCACATATCGTCGGGATACCGATACATATCACATGTACAGCAGTAGCTCTACGTTATTCACAGCTGAATATGCAGACAGATATCGATAGACTACCGTATACGACACAAGATAACACACCCCCTGGACCGACTTTCAACGCTGGATTTCTCAACAGCAGGAAAAGTCATATCGCCGCGGCGGCGTTGAAGCCATCTCGTCGAGAGCTTTCTGAAAAGTATCGTTTCGTTCATGCACCATCGTCGTGGCGTAATCGATCTTTGAAAATCGTTGTAGGGGATGTGTTATCTTGAGTCGCATACGAAATAGCGCAAAGACCGATGTTCAACACGATATTGCCTTGTTCTTGGTCCTGCAGATGATATGCACGTTTCTGTGCGCATGGCAGACACAAACTCACGGCAGCACCATCGTTGGTTGTCATGAATCGTGCGAAAAGGTGTTGCCATGATTCTGCTCCGCGCTTTTATTGCGACGATGAAATTACACGCTACAGTACCACGGGTACCATGTGATTAGCAGCGTTCATTACCAACGGATTGTGTGTTTGTTTCACATCAACACTTGTTGTTTTCAGGTACGTGCGTCGCGCGTACGCGGCTCACCAGAACAGCTGGGAGGCCATGATCCTGTGGTCTGCGGCGGTTCTCGTCGCAAAGTCGACGGGGGTGGATGTGGACGTGATGAACAATACGGCAGCTGTGTGGTTGGCGGCTCGGTTCGTGTGAGTATAATATGCATCCAAAACCACCGTGGAAGACCATGGCAGACGAGCGAGATGAGGGTCTTCTCCCACCTTTTGTGATTTGTTCTATTTGCACCAGGACACATACCTGTACTTGCCACCCAAACTCACTCTCTCCGTCGAAACAGTCACAGGGGGCTCCATGAATCCCTGTCAGGACGAAGCAACCCTTCTTTGGGGGAGGGACAGCGTTGTTTCGACCGAGACCTCCTTGAGACTGCCCTTGATTGTGCTGTTCTTGTTTTTCCTAAGGCTCTCGAAAGATAAATTCATTGCCTGTGGACTACGCGGAGTGCGACAGTATCCAACCTTACAGTTCGCCTGAGCGGTGCATGCATAACGTTCCAGTCGAGGGTCAGTCGTGTTGTGCTGGAACGAGTTTTTATGTTACAGTAGGAACATGTTTACAACAGCGTGATGACGGAGTCGATGTGCTAGTACCTGTGCTCCACTACGTTGTACATGGGTGATAACCTAACTGATACTGTTCCGCACGTTTGAAAAGTGTCGCAAAACTTGACCCGTCGCTTTTTTCTTAACTGTTTTACTTCCCACTCCCCCTCTTTCCGTGGCCGTTCAGCTACACGCCGGCGTACATTCTGATCAGGAGCAACACGAAGGCGTTCTTCCGAACTTTCGTCTTCATGGTGCGTGGAGAAGGGGATATGCTGCAGTCTAGTCGAATTAATGTGTCCCCCGGACGTGCACCAGGATCACACACAAACAAGTAGTATGCTACAGTTTTAGTCGTATGAATTCTTCCTCCGGACGTTTTCAGATTCACATACAGACAAGTACGTTGTGGCTTTTGTTATCTTGGTTATTGAACCATCACTATTAGAGGCAGACACGATACGGAAGCTCATTCCTAGTACTGCTTAGAGAACGGAATGGCGTGGTGTACGTGTGCCACGTATTATCTGTCCTCCCGGCCCGTGTGGTAGGGTTCTCCTCCTGTCAATAGCAGCGGTAGTGCAACACAAGTGCCGGCAAAATGAGTGGTTGTGGTAGAAGACGTAGCGAAAGCACTCATGGTAGTACCAGTGGTGGGATGAGGACTGGACTGAGTGTCCGACGGGCTTGGCACAACTCAGTCAAAGTTTTAGAATCGCTAGCCTTGGCGTAGAAAGCAGCACCCGTGCCCCCTCCCCGGCCCGAAGGGCTGACCATGTCACCTCATGTCTGAGGTTATCGCGTTGCTGTTGCGGTTTTGCGTTAAGCTTGTCCACGCAATATCGTGCTTAGTGGCCGGCAGTTTGTCGCAGAAGGTAGCCTATGTCGGTGCAGGTGTTGACCGTCTGGTGTATGTGCAAGAAGCAGTTTTATCAACGAGCTCGATTCGTCACATGAAACAAACGTCACGTCTCAATGCCCCCCTCCCTCTGTTTTGCCGTTGCATCACGTCTTTTATCATTTACAGATCGGCACGTCCTGTTCCATGCGCCTCATGTGGCAGGCCGCTTTGAAGGCTTGACGCAACTTCCTTGAGAGGGCGGTTGTCTTGATTCACCCATTGTCTCACCGCTTTGCGAGCAGTACGTCCCCAAAAATCCTGGGCTCCTTTACCGCCTGGGATCATTCTCGGTGACGAGTAGATTGAGGAAGTCATTGATTGAATCAGGACTCGTCGGGGTGCGTTTGGCAAGGTATTGGATTATTTGTGGCCCTCACTATACGGTTCAGGGACAGTTTTCAGGTATTGTTTGCCGTGGATTCCGTGCCTGTGAAGGCACTTGTCGCACTGGTCGGGGTTATGAGAAGGTGCGTCTTCGTAAGACTTGGGTGTTGTTGAACCGCCTGGCACTGATTGGCGATGTCGTACCTGCATGTTTGAGGTGCGACTCTTAGGGTAGGCTAACTAGCGGAATTTTGAGGGCTAGTTGAGCGCTCCGACCGCTTTCGATATTCCTGTATGTAGGCAGGCCATCTGTGCCGTCTGTAGTGAAATCTTGAACGGGTTCATAGCTGGCCAACGCCCTTGCACTGCGCGCCTGGTGTGTAAAGTATGAGACAAAGTAGATTTTCCTTCATCTTCGCACATCGTTGTTTCGATGCGGCGATCACGGATAGATAGCTCTCGCGATGGCAGATGCTTGTTTCCCCGGCGTAACTGGCCCGTCCGTTGCGTACGGGGTACTCACCGAACACGCGTCGATTGCCACGGCGGCATGATCCGGGCGGCTTGGGGGTGGGGTCACCTTTTCAATGCTCTCAGTGCAGCACTACTTCATCATGTCTTCCTGCGACTCAGTTCTCGCTGCCTGACCTTGTGGAAGGAGATCCTGAGATTCTTGAGACTCTCCCACGCGTTTCTCCCCGGTATGGTGAAGTTCGAGGGCCACAGACAGAAAGAAGTGACGAGTTGTTTTCTTGTTGTCGCGATGGTTGCATCATGACATCCGCGACTGCGCTGCCTAGCTCGCGTGCTTCAGAGATGGGCCTTCATCCGTGATTGGTGAGACCCTGCACCGTGAGCTAAGAGCGACCCCCCGAAGCGCTCAGATGAAACCTGATCTTCTGTGATAACCGTCGGTGAGCTGAAAGAGCGGGTAGGGCGACGGCCTACTTTCTATTGCTAAAGGGTGCGTTTCGCTGATGAACTGCAAGCACCTCCCGTCTCTGTAGGTTCATCAATGCTTGGATACCCTTCTCACCGCGTGTTGCCTTCCCGGTGTGTAGAAATAGCGGACATTCACGCGCTTTTCCAACAGCAACCGAATAACGGCGGGCATACCGGTCGGATGGGGGTATCCTCCAAAGCTGTCGTTGCTTGCGTCTGCACATTGAATAACTCTATGTATGCCTGGCATCTTAGTACTTACCAATCCTCTTCCACGCGCAAAGAAACCATTTTCCGTTGTCACAAAACAAACACCCGAACCTATGGTAGAGGTATGCTCTTTATCGCTGTGGAATATATTTACGCAATGTGTCTTCGCATCAGAGAGTCGCGTAAGCTTCGGAATTACGCTGTGGACTGTCGATCAGGGCAAAAACAAGTAGTCTACTCCCTTAGACAAAAACAAATATTCGAATACAGTAGTGCTAACGCTGTGCCGCCTTCCTCCAAGTCCAGCAACATACTCCGATTGGTCGTCCGTCGTTAGCGCCGTCAGCTGTTGTGATACCTTCTAGAATATGTACGGAGCTCTATCGCTGGCAGTACAACACCAAACTATCCCAGGACCACATGAGAAAGCACAGAGAGAGAAAGCCCGAACAACAAACAGCTTGCAACCATCTGGGACTAGAAAGCTGAGCTACAGAGTGGTCAAACATGTGCTTATCCAGCCCAAATTGGGTCACTGCCCACGGAGCGCCTGCTGACCGAGGAATCATCGTCGCGTTCGTATGTTTATCACCCGACCCAAGGACCACCAAGCAACCAAGGAAAAACCAAACGATCAACAAGCGCTTTCCCCGTACGACCGAACATGCTGGTCGATACATTCTTGAACAGGCTCCCCACAGGATCACATTGCTAGAGGATCGAAGGCACCGCTCGTTCTGGGACATCCCATGACGTAAACACGTTCGGTTCGAAAGCGCCTAACTCGACTGTTTTCAGTTTCACCCACGAAGAAAGAGGGAAAGGCCTGAATAGTAAGGAGGAATTGACGCATGCCTCCATGCACACCAAAAGCAATACTGCCTGTCGAGATATTGAAGCACAAGAAAGAAGACCAAAAAACGAACGATCGATTCCTGGTCCTCCTCAACATCAAGTCCGTTTAGAAGGGCAAGAGGAGCAGCTCCGCCCTGACCCAGTCCACCCCGCCCCCAAGAGCCCTGAGTACGTCACACACAACAACATCACGACCTTTAGTTTGTTCGAAAATACAGCAGCACCAGCGGTTGCAACGGCCGTGTAGCAGCACTGGCTCAACCACAGCCAGCCACATCAACCTGTCACCTGGCCCTGAACGAGGGCCCCGTGCTGGAGGGGTACTTGGAGGACGTCTGAACGCCCAAACCAGACCCTATCGAGTAGGCGCCGGGGCCCGGTGAACTGCTGCGCCGCGGCATGCCTCTCGCTCCCCCGCCCTTGCTGTTGGGGGTCGCCCCCCCGAAGGACAGAGCGTGCGTCGTTTGTATCATGTTGGAGAACGTTGGCTTGGGGGCGGCAAGGGGCGGGGCAGGGGGGGACGAGGTTGTATTTTTTCCGTTGTAATTGTTTTTTGCGCGTGCGTTATTGCCCGAGTCATATTCAGAATTTTGGTTCTGGTCGTCGTTCGTGGGTCTGCGAATATTAGTGTTGGATACATGTGCTGGATGATTTGGTGTCACGCAGACTGGTAAGATTGCCGTTTTGTATTGTTGTTGTTGTTGTTGTCTTCACATTAAAAACCGTTCCGATCTCCCTCTACCCAGTACCTTCGCATGTCCGTACTGATACAACACTCGACGCGGTCGATTCCCGTGGTCGAAGGCTACCTTACCCTAAAAAGGTACACTCAAATAAAATGGCCCTGAGGGGTCCGCAAGTCAATAGAAATCAACGACAGATATTCTGGAGTCCTCCACTCCCTCTGCGCGCTGTGCGAGGTAACGACTAAGACTAGGAGTCACCATCATGGGCCGGAGAGAATGAGGTATACCCCCTTGGTTCAATCGTTGTACTTCACAACGCAAGCAGAAACAAGGCCATCTGGCACTGAAAAAGAGAGAAAAGAGAAAAAGAGAGGAAGATAAAAGGAAACAGTAAGGAAAGAGAAAATGAACTGAAAAAGAGCGAGGACAAAAAGGGACCAGGCCGAAAATAACAAGAAATATGAGACAGAAAAAGGCACACGGTGGAGAGCCCACTAACGACAAGCAAACACGCAAACATGGCCACCAACCAGCGATACATTGTAATGGTACGTCATCACTAGTGGGGGTTGGTGCAATGGTGCAGCGTTGGCGGGGGGGGAATTGGCTAAAAGAAATTCAATCCGGCACGTATCGCGCAACTCGGTCCGTCTCTTCTCGTTTGCTTACTTCCCTCGCCGTCTCGTCCGTCTCCTGCCTCCCTCCCGCCCCATTGGTTGGTGGCTTGTGGTT